AAGCATCTCGCAGCAGCAGCAGCATGTAACAGAGGATCTTCTATAAGTGCTTAGGTAAACACATTCTGCAAAACCCAATGTTTGCTTATTATTTTGAGCAGAGGCAGTAAGTCTCACTGTATATCTACTATTACAGTGTCCACAGGCAAAACTGCAACAGTCAAACTGAGTGGTGTGACATGAGAAAAAAAGCCTTCTGGCTACAGAGTCATCCCTGGAGTGAAGTGGATCTATTTTGAATAAGCTGGTTAAATAATAAATGCCTTTGCTGCCTCACCAAAAATGTGTTTAAACTCTGATAACGAAGGCTTGGATGACTCCCTGTAATGTAAAAGCATTCAGCCCAGGAGCCAAACCTCTCATCTTGATAAATCTGAGACTGACCTGTGGAAGGACGCTGCGGTTGTTTTTGTCCCTCCCACTCTGTCCTCCACCACATCTACCACTCTAAAAGAAACCTGTTTTTCCTCTGAATTATTTACTTAAGTTTAAGTTGAAATCCCCATTAAAAAGACACTTTTCTTAAAATTAATTAAAAGTATGACCAAAATAATCTGATTACAGTTTATGCCATAACTGAGCAGCTCTACTAACCGCAAGAATTTCCAAAAGATAACAAAGGTTACAGCTTTTTTGCAGCCAAATGCTCAGTCACAGCAGTGGATCTGTTGTTGCATTTAATGTGATTCTTGTGCCCTCCTCACTCTGTGAAACCATGTGTTTGCTTACCGTACACCAGGTTGGGGTTGGCTCTCTTTAGCTCCTGAACAATATCCACCACCATCTCCAAGAAGGACGTGTCTCTGGTATACCCTGCAGACATCACACACACACAAGGAAGAGACAGAGCAGAGAAATTATTATAGGCTGTGTATGAAAAGATTCATAACTAACTATACTTTTTGATTTCTGTTAAAAACTGTTTTAAACTTAAACTGCTCTGTATGTCAATAATGGCACCCAGTTGAACTTAAACTTACTTAAATCCAAACCGATTCTCAGATTTACCTTAAAATGTTTTTACAGAAGAAAATTGTGACTTCTTATCTCTTTTTTCCCGTGGTCAAAATTGATCTACTGCTTTGATAACATTATCTACATTTGGCACACAAGTACATGATGCTAAAAAAAGTAAGAAGACTGCAAGGAACTTATTTAAATTTAACCTCAGGGGGATCTAAAAATCAACTCTGATTAAACTAAATTAAACTGTCCAGATATTTGCATTTTGAGCAGCGGTCCAAGTGAAAAAGTGGGACACCCACCTGTTAAAACATAGTCATAGTGGTGTACGTTGTTCAGTTTAATCCCCTCATAAAGAACGTGGAGCTCATCTGCTGTCAAGACCTGACCTTTCCAGTGAGAATATCCTTCAGAAAGCACAGGAGAGATGTTACTGTGTTTGCTGTGAAGAGACCGATGGATAAAACACACTTCTCCTGCAGGGAAATGTGAGCTTTTCAACCAATTCACAAAAAGTAAATCAAAGAAAGTTTAAATGAGAATCAAACATGACGCGATGTGATTAGAAAACTGTACAATGATACTTTAATTAGTCGAGCCTCTCTCTGTGTGAGTTTGCTCCAGTCCCTCTTTCAGTTTACTTCCTGTTTTATTCTGAAGGTCAGACTCTCGTGTAGTTTTCTTTCCTCCTTTATTATTTGTATTTTTCAATGTTTGCTTAGGCTTAACTGTTCCCTATTATTCCTCCCTTCCTGTCTGTGTCTATGCCCTCAGTCTTTTTCAGGGTTTTCTACCCACATTTCATAATATCTAATGTTTCATTATATCACATCTTATTCACTGACATATCAAGATTTTACATTTAATATCTTGTTTCAATTAAACCTTGCAAACATCATCCAAAGGATAAGACAAACACCCTGATCATAAATTCCTGAGAAGGTCTTTGTGCCCCAGACATGTCTTTACCACAAGCCAGAATTTTAATCTAATTGCATGAAGAACGCACACACATACATGCACACACACACACACACACACAGCAGGCCTGATACCTGCAGACACAGTATCTGGTTAGACAGGGACAGAGTGGAGGCTAGCAGCAGGACAAATACGTACATGCTCCACTACACACACACACACACACACACACACTGTGTTTGTGTGTTGCCTCAGCATGTGCTGAACACTGTATACAGGTGTGCATGTATGTGAAGTGGCCACAAGCATATAAGCCAGTGTGGAGGGTGTCTGTCTGCACATGACAGGTTTGCTGCAAGCTGGTGACGTCGTGGCTCCAGGTGAGTCACAGCCAGGTCACGTGGTTGTGGTGGGGGTTCTGGTTGCTAAGCAACAAGCCAGGAGAAAGCCAAAGGGGGCTAAGAAAAGAGATGAGCAGTCAGAGTGGTGTGTGCGTGAGAGGGAGGGTAAAATGAAGGCTGGCCTTCAGATAAGAGCTGCTTCTGACGTCATCGCACGCTGCTGTCGCAATTTCCCAACGCTGCTGTTTACTGCTGCGTCGCATGGCCGCTCCCAGCGTCTCTCTCTCTCCATCATCTCTCTCTTTGATTCATTTTCTCTCCTCTCTCCAGTTTTTTTCCTCTCCGTTCACCTTCTCTGCCCCTCTCCCCAGCCGCTCTTCTCTCCCTTTTCAGATGAAAACGTCTTCTTCAATATGTCACACCAAATTACACACTCTCCTCTGAGAAATTGCAAATGTAAGATCTGATTAAAGTCTGAGGCATTTCTACGTTAAGGTAGGTCACTCAAACAGAATCCCACAATTGATGTGAGGACTTTTTCTTCTCTTCTCCACAACACACCGTCCTCAGCTGTATCACTCACTGCAAGTGGATTGATAATAACAGTGAGCTTATAACCTGTGATTAGATTACTCACTCCTGGCTTTAACTCGTCCCCAAGGGTTTAAATTGAACTCCAGTAATTCTCTAAGACAAGAAATGCAAGAAAAAACAAATTTCAGAAGGACTGCGAGGAAAATTCTGGAGTTGGCTCAACTTTTCCTGCAAAACTATCCAATGTCATCCGGAAAGTGATAATGAAAAAGGTGACACTGATGCAGTAATTTATGGTAAAGGAGCTCCAGCCTGTACTGAGTGTATAAGAGAACATACTATTCAGAAGTTGGACATTTCTCTTTTGTAAATTATTTTTTGTATGTCCTATAGGGCTGCCACAAACAATTATTTTGATAGTCGACTAGTCACCGATTATTTTTGCGATTAGTTAACTAATCAGATCATCATCCATTGGACGTAAAACATACAGCTTATTGCACCAGCAGCATCTGCTCTTATATAACTATCATTAGCTTACAGCTTTAAGTGTTTAAGGTCTGTGCTAACTAAAAATAAAGAAAAGATGATAGTTTATTAAATTTTAATGAAATTTGCAGATTGTTTTGGTGAAGTTTAATTAACTCCTTGCTATCTAAAATATAACAGGACACCGTAGTATATTCTCCAGCATCTCACACTTCTGATAATCAGCTGTTTGCTTGACATTTATTCAGCTGTGTAAAAACTATAACTTTAATCTCAGCCAAACCGATTTACTCAGAAACAAATAAAATACTAAAAAAAGCCAAACAATAACATTTTTAAGTTATCTATGTGACTTATTTATGTTTAACCTGAGTAGCGAAAGACAGCGGTGGGTTTGAAAACGATTTGCCGGAGTCCGGTGTTCTCACGGCTCTATTGAGCCTAGCTCCCGGCTAGCTATCAAGCTAGTGGCTAACAGAAGTCTCCGAAAACGTCGGAGCGCTTTTGAAAATATGTGGTGTCTTGATAAACTGAGCAGATATTTGAGGTTTACACAGCTACATTCTCGCCTGAAAATATGTTAAACGTTTATTTTGTGACCCAGAAAGAATAATAAGAGTAATATTAAAACTAACTAGCTGCCGCCATTGTTGGAAACTGAGCTGGGCTGCGCTATGAATTCTGGGACAGAGCTTCTTCTTCTTCGGGGTTTAACGGCAGCTGGCATCCTTGTACATGCAGTGCTGCCCTCTTCTGTTTCAATCCGTTATTACACTCTTAAATCCTACTACTTATTCCTGCGTCTTTTGGGATCTTACAAAGCTTCAAACGAAACGTCGACTATTAAATTAGTAATCAACGATTTTGATAGTCGACATAATCGTGACTAATCGACTAATCGTGGCAGCCCTAATGTCCTATGAAATATTCTAAAGAGAAACCGGATTTCTGATTTTCGTGAGCTATAAGTGATAGTTACTTTAATTAAACCCAAAAAAGGCTTCAAAATTTTCACTGTGAGATTTCACTATATATGCACCAATAGGACCCAAAAGCAGGACACAGAAAAAGGTAAAGAAACAGAAGATAGACATTAAATAGCTATTTACAAAAATCAATCTTAGCGGGTTTTTTGAACCAGCTAACACAAAGAAAGCCTAGCTAAGTTGAATCTAACCTCTCAGGTACATAAACTTTCTTTAAAGCTCACATGTCTGTCATGAAACGTGACCTAGGCAGTAGTTGAAAATACTGAAAAAGGCTGCAACAGGCAAATATAAATACCATCATCTGCTGCTGCTACATTTAAGCTCCAGGCTCACCCACAAGACACTTATCCTACAAAAACTCCTACAATTATGTTTAGCCTCAGTCTGCAACATCACCACAGGTCACTTTCACTGTTTTTAAGCTCACTATTATCTGTGTCGATAACAACTCCGTACAAAACAATCTGAGGCTGACTTCAAAGCAGTTCACTCGTCAATCAGACTTTCAGCTTACAGCTAAGTCAGCAGTAACCGTATGGAATCGGATCACTTGCATTAAACCATAAAACGAGGGGGTCACACTGTCTTTTAGGTCACGTGAAATCAGATATGCAGATAAATTAGTTTACCACCCACAAACAAAACCAAACCTTTGTTATGATCTACTATTCCTTGACTCCACTATGAAGCAACAAGCAACAGCTGGACAAACATGTTTATTTTCACAGCTGATTCATTCTTCAGGTTCAGTTAGCTTGGATTCCATGAAGTGGGGCCACACATCAGTGTGACAAAGGAGACACGGTGCAGATTATTCACTCACGTCTGGCAATCAGATCCAAATATTATGGCTAAATGTGACAGAGAGATGATGCAGACAGCCCAGAGGCGATGTCTGCATCGTCTCTATAACAAGATGCATCATCACTGCAATCATACAAGTTCCTTCAAATCAAATTAGTTCTGTCACAAGTACGGCTTTGCAGAAATTTTACACATCTTTTTCAATTATACTGATTAGATTTTAAACTTTGAGAGTCATCAATAAACTTTCATAATTATTTAACCCCTTAACATACAGCTAATAAGCTTAAGGATGTAAAAAAGGAAACAGTTTTACTGGAGAGCCGATTAAGCAACTTCAGATTTTCACAGCTCATAACAAAAAATCTCATAAAAGTATAAAAATGAATTTTTCATGAAATGGGATCTTTAGATGATTCTTCTTAAAGAGAATAGAGATGATAGAGATCAGCAGCATCGTGTCCAATAAGAGAGAGACAGAGATGGAGCTTGTATAAAATGTGAATGGCGTTCATCTCCCTGCAGCTATATCAGTGTTTCCAAGCTGTTCTGGTGTCTGAGCATGCAGCCGCTGACCTCCACGGAAACTCATTTATCTGTCGAGTCGTCAGCCTCGGCACGGTCGCTGCCTCAAAGGGAACTGTGTCTGTTAACACTCGCCAACACCTCATCACGACACCGAGGGAACTGACTCACACACACCCACCCACACAAAGCAGGCACGCACAAACTGAGAGATACACAGGCTAAGTCAGTGGCCTGACCTGTATGGTTGGAGAACTGGACGGAGTTGATTGAGTCCACCTCAAACCCTAAAAGCTGAAAACAGAAGACACAGAAAGAAAACAGTTGTCAGAAGATATCAGGAGAACACTTTTACAGCTCGGCTGTGTTTTAAAGACTTCGTTTGGAGTCTCAGGCTGCTGCTGTGTCTCAGGTACCACAAGGAGTTCACTGGTGATGATGTGTGAGGCACCAGGTTATGACATTAGTGAGATATATACTTATTCCTAACAAAGCTTTCATCTTTTCAAAGACCGAGAGCATTATGTCTTAACTGGAACGTTGCTGGAATATTGATGCTTTTATTGTGGAGGAGTTGCACCCTCGGGCAGCACAGTGATGCCCAGTGGTTAGCTTTGTTGCCTAACAGCAAGAAGGTCCTGATCTGGCTTCTCTCACGGTCCAAAGATATGCCGTTAGAGGGGGTTAGGTTAATTGGTGATTCTAAATTGGTCATAGGTCTGAATGTGAGTGTGAATGGCTGTTTGTCAGTCTGTGTTAGCCCTGCGACAGACTGGCAGTGTACTAGAACAATTAGAAATATGGTCATTACATCGTCATGATTCCATCACCATGTTTGGTTTGCATATTAAAATATTTAATCTGAGTTTTCTCCACAAGTAAGGGTTTATTAGTTGCCGCGAAGCAGTAATTGCCCACCTTTGAGCAGTGGGAGAAATTATCTGTGATGACTTAACCAAGTTCATTTTTTTCATGAAAGCAGAACAAGAACAGAAGGGCAGACGCATTGTTTTCTGGGTGAACAGTTTGAGTTTAATGTATAATGTGTTACTTCTCCATTGTGTCAAGTCAACCTCAAAGAGAGGATAGTCATTTGTCATTTTTAATGCAAAGGCTCACTAAAGAGCAGTCCTTCTCAGGTTGACTTTGGCGGTTCAGCTGTAGCTAACTAGAGTTGTTTTGTGTTTGTGATATTAAATCAACATAGTAAAGCTGCAAAATAATGAGCTGAAAATACTTTAGTACCGTAAAGTTGAACATGAAAAAGTCAAACTGCAATGGAGGGAAAAAGAAACTCTGTTAGGCTTCATTTAACCTTGATGGACATACAGGCATCGTCTAAATGTAACTTCTGCTGAAGTCTGCACACAGATCTGCAAGAAACAGCTCGTGGTGTCCTCGCTCTCTCTGTGTTTCTTAACAGATTTGTTTTTATAAATTACCCCAGAGAGAGAGAGACACCCACACACATGGCTCATCCACGTGCTGAGTTAATTGTTATCTGAATGTCTTTATTTTAATTGAGCTAAAGCTGGCAGAGTGAATGAGGTCTTTGTTCTTTTCAACTGACTGTGACTTTGAGATACAAGAATCCTCTTTCAGAGAAGAGCCCCTCCACCCACCCAGGAACACAGTGTAGATATTAACTTTGACCTTGTACGGGTTTCTGAAAGGTGGAACACTCTATTTATTTCAGCAGCGTGAAGCATTCAGAAAACACGATTAACATGCAGAACAATTCACTGCAGTCGCATTACACTCCTGTGCACACAGAACTGGATGAATTATGACTTTTTTTGATATATTAATATTTGCATTATCCTTCAAGGAGAGTCTTTTGTTGTCCTAACTTACAGGACTGTCAGTGATCACGTTACACTTTAAACCTCAAGTGATCGTTGCCTTGCCAAAACATTTAATACAAATTTCCTAAATAAAGCGAGGTAAATGGCTAAATGTGGCAATGAAAATCCCCAAAAGGGATCAAGCCCACTGTTGTCTGGACATCCTGGTGTCCCTCTCTGTCTCTCTACCTGGAGCCAGTAGTTGCCTTTACAGACGAAAACACCTGCTAGTCTGGGACTAACTTCCTACTGAATGTCCCTGACTCCCCTACCCCAAACACTCTATTTCCCCCTCTTAAAAAACAGTTTTTAATGTTAAAATAATCCAAATTGTAATTACTGACCAAAGCAAATTCGACTGCAGTTTCTCTATAATCAAACAACTGCTACTGTTTGACTTGTTATTGTATATTTTTAATCTAAATATCATACTAGTATTTTGGTTTACTGCAAAGTACATGCTGTCCAAGAAGTCTGTGCTTCAGTTCTGATAAACACTCATTTATTTTATGTAACTTTCACAATAAATTGTTTGTTATTTTGTGAAATACATTGTTAGAAAATTAATAAACAATTGCCCCATAATTTTAACGTTTCAATATCAATGTATACACTATCCAAACATAATATGCAGATCATTTTGGACTGTATGTACCTAAAAAAACATGGCAGCTTTGAGCATAACGCTACTTTCAATCCTATTCATGATATAAGACTGTTGTTACTCATAGTAGTAGTGGGTGTGATCAATAAATGCATGATGAGGTTGGATTTTACCATTTAGGAATTCTTTCAGCTTCAGTTTTCAAATTTCAGTCAATTCAGAAGTGGTTTTGAGCTTCCAGCCTATCACCTCCCGTCTGTTTGGAAACATCTGTTTCTTTGCTGTGACTACACAAACTGTCACTGACATTTATCGCAGCGTGTTCTTTTGGCTCAGCGTGGATCCAAATTGGCCGTTGATGCAAAACCGTGTATTTACAGCGGATGTACATGGGTGTGTCTAAGAATATGTTATTTAGGTCACATCTTGCCGTGCTCTATTCATGGGCCTCAAGTCACTGACAGACTGTTTGCACCGCTGCTGACGGGAAAGCTTTCACTCAAGGCGAGGATCTTAACAGATTAAAAAAAATTAAACGTTTTGCCTTCTTGGAGAAAAGCTTTTGGTAAATTCCCCCTGCGAGGAAGCCCCTTTCACAGCTGACGAAAGACGAGTTCAATTAACGAGTAGCACTTCTGGCTCATCACATCTGAGGCAACACAACAGCTAATTTTACTGCATCGTGACTGAGCTGGCACCATCCTTCTGCAATGACTGTTCAGTTCAGATTGATTTATATAACAGAGTGAGAAATAAAAGTCAGCTTTTCTCCCCTATTTGGAAATGCCCATACCTGTGGGTGCATGTTACTAAAGTCTGATATAACTTAAAAGTTTTATAATAAGGATCACTCATTCCACTTTAACTCCTACACTCTTCTCTTGTGCAGTTACTCTGTACATTATTTTTGAAAGAACTATTCCTTTCCACTTCTGGCACTTAAAATAAATCAAGATTAAAATTTATATGTAATCAATATTTTTTTAATGTTAAAAAAAATCGCTATTTGACATTATGGAGGGTGCCAGTGCCCTTGAATTCTGTTTCTATGTGAAAGCTGAAGCTTTAACTTTAAGGCAGCCTGTCTCCATCTTTTCTGACGTCATTAGGAGGAATCCTGTGGCAGCCAATCAGAGCCCTGCTTTCTCATGTTGCCGTCTCCCGGCTGCTGACATGCCACAGATTCTCCGTCGTGACAGAAGAGAGAGGGATGCCCGGCACGCTCGCTGACATCATCCTCATCACCATCATCATCTTCTTCTCTCTGATCTGTGACACCAGCTGAATCATTGTTACTGTGCATGGTGAGACGTTCTCCTTCATTGACCTGTGGGTTTTCCATTGGAGTCTAAATTTAACACACTGCCCTTTTTTTTAATTAATTAATTTTTGCTTATGTCCACAAGCATCAGCGGTGGTTCATTCACACAGTCTGTCTGCCGCAATCACCATCCAGACACACTCATTATACACACTGGCACCATGAGCAGCTCCTAGAAAATGTATGTTCTTGCAGACTCTTGATATTCTAACACAAATGCTGGCTCTCTTAGCAAGGCTTATCAGTGTATTCATAATGGACACCATATTCAAGCATGAGCGTGTTAATTATTTCACAGGACACTCTGCATTGCAGAACAATATCAATTTTGTAATTATTTTATCAGATCTGGGACCATATGTCTCAGACACTCGGGTGAAGAGAGATGCTAAGCGGTTAACTGATCACCACCCAGTGAGTTGGATCAGGTGGCAGAGGAGGATAGTGGACAGCCCTGGGGCACCCAAACCTAAACCTATTGTGCAGGTGCACTGAGAGAGTCCAGCAGAGGTAGAGGCGCTGGTCCACAAAATCTTCAATTCCCACCTTCAGCAGAACTTCAAAAGCTATCAGAGACATTTAGACTGAATAGACCATATTTTGTACCTCCACTGCCGAGGCAACTGCACAGAACTGCAGCCACAAAGTAGTGAGTGCCTGTTATTGTGATAGTCCCTAAACCAGATGGTGAAAGGAGCCATCATGCTCAAGAATGAGTTGTACTGGGCTTGGTTACCCTGAGGTATATCAGAGGTAGCTGACAGATACCAGCAAGCCAAGAGTGTGGCTCTGACAGCAGCTGAAGCAAAAACATGCATGTGGGAGGATCTTTGTGAGGCCATGAAAGAGTTTAAGTTGGTTTCAGGCAATTCAAAAGGGGAAAGTAACGCTCCAATCACAAAAACAGACAGGTGAGGTGGTTCAGGTATCTGACTAGG